GACAGGGATAGAATTATAAAAGAGTTCAGGGATGGGTTAACCCATGTTCTAATTTCCACCGACCTTCTGGCTCGAGGCTTTGACCAGCAACAGGTCCTTAAACATGTTTTGCTGTTATTCCAACATTCATTTCTTATCACATAGTATCATCCGTATGGTGATGTTTATTTGTTAATATGTTGAATTGGTTTCTTTATGTCAGGTTAATTTGGTCGTCAATTATGATCTTCCCGTGAGATATGATAGACCTACTGAACCTGACTGCGAAGTTTACCTGCATCGGGTTGGTAGAGCAGGACGCTTTGGCCGCAAAGGTAATCTTTTGGTCCATGTGGTTTTTTTTCTTTCTCATAATCAATTTGACGTGTTTGGTAATTTCAGTATTATAATATAGCCAATTTTACTCTGTATCTAGAAGATGATCTCTCTCTCTCTCTTCCTCTTCCGAAGTATATTTGGACCTTATATCTGAGTGTTATTTACACGTGTGTAGATGTGTAGTTTCGGTATTTGTGTTGATCGTGGATAGCATATATCTTTTCGTTTTGCCTTTTAATTTTATTATTATTATTATTTTTAAGATGACTGTTAGAATCTTGTGCATGAGCAGGTGCAGTGTTTAACTTGCTATGTGGCGACCGAGATGAGCTGGTCATGGGCAAGATTGAGAAATACTTCAACACGCAAATAGCCGAGGTAAAATGGCTTTTGCATGATTTTTCCAGTATTGTTACTTGAGCAGAAAATTTATTCGTCTTTCAAGAATTGAGATATACGTTACGAGTTTGGGTAAAATATGCTCTCTATGAATTGCAGGTGAGCCAGTGGAATAGCGCCGAGGAATTTCGAGTTGCTCTGAACAATGCTGGCCTACTATAATTTTTTTTTTTTTTGTTCAAATTCGGTGCTGGCTTTTATGTCGTGAACAACCGACCGATTTCAAATTCTCCATACTGGATAGATACAGTCTTATATATTTCTGTCTTGGGACTCGAAATTTTACAGAACTTCGATGTATTTTATTTCTGGGGATGAGATGTAATTTCTATTGCGAACGAACTGGTATGTCTGTTGCTCTTGGAGTGTGTTTTTGAGGTCAGAATGGAGTTTTGCTATAGACTTTGTCCCAATATCTTCAGGAGTGGATATTTTTTTATCAATTCAACTGAATTCATATGGCAATTAGCAACTGGCCAATCCATGACTATATATGATGAGCTTATAAAGCTTGTACCTGTGTACCTCCAAATAATTTATCAAATTCCAATAAATGGAGCACATATGCAAATTCTGAACATATGGTGCTTCGATGACTGTCTTTCGGTTTTGTTACGAAGCTAACAGTTGGTTCCATAGTGGAGCTAATTTTCTATATACAACAAGTAAACTTACTACTTAAATAACACTAATATAATTTTATAATTTGGTATTGTTTACTTAAATAACACTGTATATAGAAGGTTGACCCCACTATAGAACCAAATGTTGGTTTCATAGCAAAACGGAGCAAAAACATAATGGCCCCGTTTGAAAGATAGCGGATTGAAGATAAAATAGCGGATTGAACTTAATTGAGAGGTTTGACCCGTCAAATCCGCTATTGAGCTTGTTTGGTAAATAGCTTATTTGATTAGCTTTTTGGGCCCAAAACTCTAATTTAGAAAAAGCTCATTAGAGCAGCTTTTTGGGATAGAGGATTCACAAAAATAATTTATTTGGAACTTTTTTTTTTGTATTATTTATTTTACAATCTATATTGGTTTATGATGCTAATAAATAATAATATGTCTTCCATATGATTAATTTATCTAAAAAAATGTAAAATTTATAACTTCTTCATCAAGTGTTAGTAAATTTAAAATATATATATATATATCTATAAATTACCAACTATAAAACATCAAATGTTTTAATATATTATTATTAAAATAATACATCTTAAATAATAAAATATCATTATTGGTCATTTTGCAATGTCAAACAGTTATTAAAAAACCGCTAATGCAATCCACTGGTCAAATCAACTAATATAATCCGTTATCCGCTATCCGCTGATAAAAATCCGCTATCCGCTAATCGCCAAACAAGGCCAATTAACTTCAAAGGATCGCTATTTTTCTTATGGTGGCGACATTCTATGGTTATTAAAATAATATAGGTTTTTGACTATACGGCAGAATCATGATTTTTAAGATACAACCAACATTCATGGTCTGCACGTCTTAGGTAGTGCCCTTCTACACCATATTCAAATCATAATCTTAATTCATCCCTATATATATGTTCACAGAGAAACGGTATCTCAGTCTCAAATAATAGCAACAAACTTAAACGATGGGGGCAAATATTTTGTTGACTATTGCAGCATTGTCTCTTCTAGTGGCCTCAGTGGCCGGAACCAGCGAATCGGCCGGTCAGTTTTTCCACGTGGCCGGCAAAGTCCTTTGCCAGGACTGTAACAAGGGCTGGAATGAATGGGTCAATGGAGCCAAGCCCATAAAAGGTAATAATACATCTAAACATATATTATTATTATTATTATTATTATTATTTTAATTAACCACATGATTTTAAGTTTAACCTCAACAGCTATCAAAATATTACATGTTCTGCTCGATTTACTTGCAGGCTGCAAGGTCTCAGTTACATGTCTGGATGATAGGAACAGGGTTGTGCACTACGCGAGTGACCTCACTGATGATGTCGGCGAATTCGACATCGCGTGTAATAAATCTGTAAACGGGAAAGAGCTCAAGCCCGGGAAT